GCGCCCGCGCCCGCCCCCGCGCCCCCGCCCGACAGGACGCATCACAACACTACCGCCGCGTACCAACCTCCACCCACGCATCACCAGGTAACCTAGCCTTCATAAACAAACAAATTAATAAAATAAAAAAGAGATTTCCAATTCACTACCAATATTGTCAAGGCGTTCCTTGTACTCTCCAGTCATCTTCAATCTGTAGAAGCTTTAGCTTCAGTACAAGGTCAAAGCATGTAATGCCTTTATTATGACTTGTGTGTAACTTCAAAAGTGATGATCCAATCAATTGATAAAAAAAAGTAGATTTCATTTTGTTAGTGTGGCAATAGTTACAAACTTTAGAAAGCAATATGTAAATATATTACGTTTCAAGTCTCAGTCAACAGTCTGATGGCTAATTAAACTTTTAATCCGGGTTCGCAGGCCCAGCAACAAGAAGACAGTTCTTCGAGTTCATCGAGTGAGAGTGGCAGTGATTCTGATAGCGGCAGTGATAGTGACGACAATGATTCCAGCGCTCACCACTCTATACCCAACGGTATGTACACTTGAAAATTAGTCTTATAGTATTACATATAAGATTGTACGTCGCGTTCCGCGCGCGCCTCGAAGAGCCATCAGACCACCACGGATGGGGCCCAATAGGGCTGATGCCGATACAGAGCCCCGGAAAGCCGGGGAGCCGGGGCTCCGGCTCGAAGCGCAGGAGTAGGAAGGGGGTGGTTTTCAGTCAGTAAGAGTCTGTCTCCCCCTCCGCCTCGCCTAGGCGGGAGCAGTCATTCGATGATTTTTCCGCCTTCAAAAAAAATTGCATATCTAGTTAAGTATTGGAATCGCTACGTGTTTGGCGTATTTACAGTATACTTATATAAAATAATACTTTTAAAGATGCATGTATTAGACAGTTGCAAGTTACTTCTTAAACTATTTGCAGCTTTAATGATACATGTAAGTAACAAAATGGATACACTGTTGTTTCTATACTTCTTACGAAAGAAAAAGGAAAGTAGGAAAACATCCTTATAAAACCAAGACGGAAAAAGAAAGTAGTTTTAATTAAATTTTGTTTATTTTTCAGGTAACCCGCCCCCCAACCCTGCGTTACCGGCCGACGTGCTGAATGATGATCTCTGCCTGTCCGAATCCGGCAGCGACTCCGACTGACCTCACGACAAACGTTTATTTCATAGGGTTTGGGTGTTTTTAATTTTAAACGTTACTCTACTCACCCTCGAACAGATTTTTTCTCAAACTGGCAAGCATATAATACTAAAACATGGAGCAATAAGTAAACTGAATCTTATCATTTTATAATTGAGAGTTCTATTTTGTGTGAAAGCATGTTTCGTGATGGAATATAGTCTACTTTGAGAGTAGACAGCAATAAATTGTTTGCATGGACTGCAAGAAGTGGTTGGTATTAATATTATCTTGAATTTGCTTCCGTTGTTATTGTAAAGTATATACAAATGATATTATTTGAACTTAAAGATTTTCGTGAGCAGATGTACTATAATACTCGGCACGTAACATTGCAAGATTTTGTTCGCGCGGATTTAATTCGCGCGTTGTAAATGTCTCTTTACTTCTTACTCTAACTTCTTTCCTGTTTGTTTAACTTTTTTCCTAGTAGATCCATAACCATAACATGATCTGTCGTCAGAGGTATTTGCGAACCGATACGACCTTCAAACCTTTAAGAAAAGAGCGTATTCCTTTTTAAAAGGCCGGCAACGCATCAGTGACTACTCTGGTGTTGTGGGTGATATGGGCGGCGCTGATCGCTTACCATCAGGAGATCCGTCTGCTCGTTCCATAAAAAAAGCATTTGGTTATGGATTGCCATCGTTTTATGGCAATAACCATTAAATACACAGTCCACGAAGTTCACGACAAAATGTTGCCATGTTTCGTGCCGAGCACTATCAGTCTGCAGAATGATTGCTTACTCCATTGTTACATGATGACTTGCCATGGTTTGAAATATTTTTGTATAAGAGATGGTACATTAAAGTATAATATTTTTTGTCAGATTTATTTTATTCATAATCGTTAAGTAAAATAAACTTAATTATTATGTACTGTTGACATAATTAAAGATAATCGTAACGTGCCTCATAATGAACATAGATATTTTTTATTTTATGCCAATATTTGTAAAATCTAGGTTTAAGTAAGTACGTAATGATTGGTAATGATGTTTTATCGCGATGTTCATTTATTTAAATTTAGTTAATGTCTAAATATTGCAATAATCTTTTGTACAGGAAGATGGAAGAATAATATTGTAATATAAAGATGAACATGATAGTTTGTCGAGATATATAAATAATATGTACATAGATATGAGAGAACTTAATTATATTATATAGGGTTGTTGTGGTTATTAACTCACAGAACCTGAAATTGTGTGCCTTCAGCAAACTACATTGCTAATTTATTTTGGATCATTACGTCGTCTGATATTGACAGACGTTACCTACCCAATTATGTCCACATGCTCTTTTTACTTATGAGAATATAAACAAAATTGAAAAGAAACAATTTTATTATTTTATATAACCTTTACCCCTATCTGAGTGTTCAACCTTTAGAAAAATCTATGCAGTAATTGCATTGCGGCGTAATTGCAATCTGTACTTACGCTGCATCAGTCGGGAATGAGGTTGAGGTCGCTGCATCATCACTTCATCACATCTTAACATCACCTAGGAGTCAAACAGATGTAAATATATATACAATGTTACACAGAAGACCCACTATTCACTAAATAGTTACGATAAGCGTCTCATGCAATCGTACTAACGGGTTTTCGGGGCGCCAGCTCGAGGAGCAGGAGTAGGAACGGGGAGGCTTTTAGTAAGTAGGAGTCTGACACACCTCGCGGTGCGAGAAGTCATTGGACAACTTTCCTCTCTCAAAAGAAATTAGTTCCATGACCGTTAATTCAAGTTAAGCCATTATTGTTCGTCCTAGGGGTCAAATCCGAGACGTTACTTAGGGAAATAGAAAGTGTGGTCTCAAGGTTTGTCAAGTTCCCAGAATATCAAGTCCTGTGGCTGAAAATTTATCATAAGCCCGACGGACAACGACATCAACTGCTGAAAAAAGGCTTGTAGTCGATTAGTAAAAATATATCAAAGGCTCTGAAAAATGACAAGGGATTTGTTCAATAAGAACCAAAGTATTTATTTAAAAAAATAAATAAATTTATAATATTTAAAATGTACCTACATTCTGTTATTGATCACTATTCTTGTTTGCTCTATAACTCTATGTTGTAAATTTTTAGTCTATGCAACCATGCTGCCTGTCATTGTCAAACTGTCAACTTGGACCTGTCAGTTTCGGGGAAATAAAGTCAGCGCTTCGCATTTCGTGTTACTGTTCTTTATCATTTTGTTTGAGTAATTGTTTACGTGACTGCAAAATATAACAAAGACACGCTTTAGGACTAAATCATAAGTAAATCAATATTTAAGAATATCATGTTGTGAGTATATCTAAGTGTTCGTTACAAATGAAAATGTCTAACTCACTTTCGAGTAATAAAAGTCACTCGAAAAAGGCGAATAGTAGCAGAGAACGTGATAGAAACAAATCGGTGGCATCAGAATCAGGGGGCTCCAGTCAGTGCGACACTCCTCCGCTCAACGAAAAGGTAAAACATTGGTGTTGTTGAGGTTATTACTACAATAACATGTAAGCTCTTTAATTGGCGCCTGTTTTGCGAGTTTTAACTCTATTGCACAAAGGCCTCCCTCTGCGCTGAGGTGTGTATGCTTGTGCGCATATTTGAGGTTTAAAAAATACGTTTTCTTATTTTGAAATATATCAAGGATTTTTCACAAAACTAATATTTATGATATTATTTTTTAGGATGGAAACACGACCCAAGGAAGGTTTGCGGGTATCAGCCCTGAATCGGTTGTTTGTATGGCGGAGCAGGCTGGCCATGAAGTCAGTACTGAGGCCATCACCAACTTGGCTGAGGATGTTAGCTACAAACTCAGACAAACTATCAGTGTAAGGACCCAATTTAAGTATTTATTTAACTACCTACTCATTTAGAGTTTAGTCATCATTTAATAATACATACTTATCCAGAAAAGAAAGAAGGAAAACTAATACATAACAATGTTAAGCGAGCTCATAGTCTGACTTAGATGATAGGATACTTTTTATCCTGATTAAATGTTCGCATGGGATAAAACAGGAATATGCAGGCAAAGCTGTGGGTTAAAGCTAGTGTAAATTGTAGGTACTGTTTCAACATCAGTACTATAGTAAACACATTGATATTGTCAGTGTTATCCAAACGGAAATTTCTTTTACAAAAATCCAAAAATTGGAACTGAAACAAAATTCATAATTTGTGCATGTTTAAAAATTACTGACTGGCTGAAAATTCTAGAAGTATAGTTGTACATTTTCTAAATGAATAACCTATTGTTCTTTAATTGTGTCTATAATGACGGTACTCAACGAGTTAAAGAGAAATTTCATATCCATAACATTTAAATTAATTTAAACTGTAGATATCACAACTTACATTATTAAAGAAATTCTTTTACTATTAGCTTATTACACTACATCATTCTCTGAATTATGGACAAATTAGCTTATGATTACACAGCATAATAATACATCCATGGTTTTCGAAATGAATGTATTATCTAAGCTAAATTCAAGTTCTTTCTTACAATTTCTCAATGTAAGTACAGTCACATATTCAGAGCTGTGGAAAATCTATCTCCAGTTCGAAGTAGGAGTAGGAATTAGTAGGTAATTTTACTCAGAAAGAGTCTGGCACTCTCTCGTTACTCTCATGGCAGTAGAACTTATGGGATGGTGTTGCACCCTCAAAAAATGGGAACAAGTCACATACTGTAAAATAGATAAACCCTGTCAAGCAGACTACCATAATTTATTGCTTCTATTTTAATAAAGGTGAAATTACATTACGATTAGTCAAAATAAAAAAAATATTGTTCTAGTCCTTAGCCCTACAAAGTTCAATGATGAAGAAAACAACAGTGGACAGCTGGGATGCTAACACTGTGTTCATGTTGTCCGACACCAGTCCCGTAGTGGGATCGTGCATCACTCAGTACGTACCACTAGGTGAAGAGAAACTTTGCGTACCCCTTGTAAGTATTATTGCACAATTTACATACAATTTATTCTATTGATACAAATGTGATGTAAAATTTAATATATTATGTTATAAATTGACACGTGAAGACTTCAAAAGATGACCGGTCGAATGTGTTTTCAAAACAATTACAATTATTTCCTCCAGATAAGAAAGATTCAATTGCTTTATGTAAATAAAAACATACAGTTATTATTTAAAAATACTAAATTATATACATTGATATCGATAATTTTTACAGCCAGTTTGTTTTCAATTACAGGACACCTTATTAAATGTGACAGAGTTTGCATTGACACCGCAAAGTTACGTATACAGTTCCGAAGCCACAATGTCAGTGGAATGGATCACGGATGACAAGAGTCTCAATAACTCCAGTAATATCAGTGTTAGCTTGCAGAATTATTATACCAAAGTTGCTAGAGGTATGTGTTACTTAAAATTAATAAAATTCATTACAATGTCTCGTTGGTTGCGTTTCTACAGTAGGTAGTAGTAGTAGATCCTTATGCTGTCGCGGAGAACCTAACGGGTAACCGGGGCTCCGGCTCGACGTGCAGGAGAAGGAACGGGGTGGTTTTTAGTCAGTAAGAGTCTGACACTCCCTCCCGCCTCACCCAGGCGGGAGCAGTCATTCGATGATTTTCCCCACTTAAAAAAAAAAAAAAACGATCCTTATGCTCATTTCTGTCGCTTTTATTATTTTGTTAGATTTTGAACTTTATTTATTACTAGCTTTTACCCGCGGCTTCGCTCACGCCACAAAAGTAAAAAAATAGCCTATGTGAATCAATACACACAGCGCCATCTATACCAATAATTTCGTTTTCCCTCGAGAATATCAAATTTTTCTGGGATAAAAATAATAGGTATTTAATTCAGACTTCTAACTTTACGTCTGCAAAAATTCAAAGCAATCGGTTCAATAGTTACGGCGTGAAAGCGGAACAAACAAACAAACAAACAAACTCACTTTTCCATTAATAATATTAGTACATAAGGATTTTATTATTTATTTAATTCAGACAGGCAGTTGAAACAACTGATAAATGCCTGTATCGTATTTTTCTATCAGTGGTTAATTCGATGTTGTGTATCTGTCAAGTCTGTTTTTGAACTAGTTAACATTCTGTTTGTCTATTTGTTTTTGATATAACTCCATAATCCAATGTGCTCGATTTTATTCTTAATTGTTGTGCATTTTGCCAATCATCAAAATCAAATCCATAAATCAAAATTCATTGATGATTTAACTCTAGTACCTATATTTTATAATTATGCCCTTTGTAAATATACTTGAATATTCCATGCTCTTATAGATTATCTTATCACTTATTGTAAAACGTTTCCATGATTGATTTTCCGCTTTATTATTATTTATCCTCCAGTGTCGCGTTAAAGAAAATTAAAATAGCTAAACAGATTTTCGTACAATAGGGATGATTGATAGGGGTATGAACATTAAAAAACCAATTAGTCTGTCAGTTAGGTAATGAAAAAATATTAGACACGTATTTTTTTTTTATTTTGTCGTATGAAAACAATACTTAGATAAAACGAATCAAAGTTTAGGAGTGTGAGTTAGATACGTCATT